AGCTGACAGAGTGACTCAAATGGTAGAACAAGTGTGAGGCCATGAGTTCTAACACCAGCACAGCATTAAAAAAAAAAAAAATGTAAGTTAAAAATCAAAAATTAAAACCATTTAATCTAGTCAGAAAGAAAAGCTGAGAAAAACACATGAATACCAAAAATTTTAAGTAAAAGTACTGTATACGTTTGAAAAATGAGAATGTTATTTTAAGTCCTTGTACTGAAAAATAGGAAAATCTAATGGTTCTCAGAAAAAAATGAATTAAAAAAATTGGCTCAAGCTGAATCAGGACAGTTAAACAAACTAATAATTAGTAGGAAAAAAATTGAAAAAGTCATCAAAGAATTATTTCAAAGGAAGATGCCAGGCCTAGTTGGTTTTACTGGTTGACCTCTTTCCGGCACTCATGTTCCCGAAGTTGGCAAGTGCTTAAACTTACTTTATAAAATTAGTTTACCCTTGATTACAAAACTGGCAAAAACAGAACAGAACAAGAGACACATCTCACTGATGAGTACAGATGGAAAACCTCCAAATAAAATATTAACAAAAAATTCTAACAAAAATTTCAATGAATAATCTACCTTGAGCAATTAGGTATATTCTAGAAATTCTAAGGCTGTTTCTATGTGAAAGTTACAAAAAACTTTACTTAAGATATTTGATAAAAATACTCTTCCTGGGGGGTGACTATGTTTGAAGTACTTCATATGCATGTGTGAAAACAGAATAATGAAACCCATTAAAATTGTTTTAAAAGAGAGAGGGGATAAGTAAGAGTAATAGAGGGAGTGAATTTAATCAAAATATATTATATGCATGTATGGAAATATTACATTGAAATTCCTTTGTACAAGTAATATACATGAATAAAAACAAGGCCAAAAGAAAAAGTTTACCCTTCTAGCAAATTTGAAACATATAATAATCTATTATTAACTATAAAAAAATCCAACGCCCTTCATGATTTAAGAAAAAAAACACCAGCAATTAATAAAACAAAAAGGTAACTAACACCCAACATTTTGACAGTGACTTACAAGCACTGGTCATCACTGAAACAAAAAGTCATATGCAAAGAAAAAGTAGAATTACCAACTAGGCAAACAAAATTATCAGTCTCAAAACCCATATAAATGTCTACAAAGAAAACGCAAAAGAAATAATTGTGTATGAAACACTGTAAGAGAAAATGCAGAAACTAATAGTCACTTACCGACAACACTGAATCAGAAAACCTAACGGAAAAATCTCACTCAAAATAGTATTAAAATTTTTATACTTTTTAAATATTAGGAGGGGAGGAGGGATATGGTAGAATGATGGAGGGGGTGAATTTAAGATATATTGTAAGCACTTTTGTAAATGTCACATTATATCCTCAGTACAACAACATTAATAAAAAAAATTTTTTAAAGCATAGAAATACAGTCTAAAAATAAATTAATTAAAATTAAAATACTCTAGGGCTAGGGTGTAGCTCAGTGATAGAGTAGCTGCCTAGTATAAACAAGGGATGCTGGGTTTGATCCCCAGCAATGAAAACAAACAAATTAAAAAAAAAAAAAAAATCTTATCTAAAGATGAATTTCAAATGTATTTGAATAAATCTGGAGACATTCCATGTTCCTGTGTAGGAAGGTTTGGTATGAAAATTCTTCATTAAATTAACCTATTACAGGATTCCAATAAAATCTCAAGGGATGGGGAGAAGGGGTTAGGAAGAGGGAAAAACCTGCCACAATGTGATGATGTCATGTATGTGAAGAAAAGAGGCAAGAAGATTTTAAAACAGAGTTCAAGTTTAAATGCCAGATATTAAAATGAAATGCTACAATAACAAAGACAGGAATTTGGAAAGGATGAAAAAACAGTGGATGAAATGGAAAGTCCCAAGTAAACGTATGTTTTTAATACATGCTGAAGGTAGAAACCCAAATCATTTGGTGCAGTAGATGGATTATTCAGTAAGCAGTGCTAAAACAATGGTTAATGGTTATGGGAATGGTTAATGGTTAAGGAAGAAAATATATCAGATCTCTAATCATACCATACAAAAATTAAATTATTTTGGATGAAGAATTAAATGTGAAAAAATGAAATAATGAGGAACTAGGAAAGCCAGTCATGGTGCTACATGCCTGTAATCGAGCACTTGAGAGCTTGAGGCAGGAGGATCTCAAGTTCGAGGTTAGCCTAGACTCTATAATGAGACCCAGTCCCCTCCCCACACACACAAAAAAAAGTTGGGGATGTAGTTCAGTGGTTGAACACTTGCCTAGCATATACAGGGCCCTAGATTCAATCCCCAGCACTGAAGAAAACTAGGAAAAAACAGACATGACTATTTACCAGATCTCAGAATGGTGAATACTTTTCAAAGTATAAAAGACAAGGTTAAATATAAAAGGAGACAGAGTAGGCTATAAAAAGTTTAAAATACATATATGGAAAAAAGAAAAAAAAGTCCTAGAAAGTTAAAATGCAAATGAAAAACTGGAAAAACATTTATAAATTATAAGACAAAGAATAATAGCCTTACATATAAAGACCTCTTAAAACCAAAAGAGAAATATGCATACTTGAATATAAAAATAAGCAAAAGACATTAATAGGACCATAAACACGTTTTTAAAACACTCAATATCCTTCAACAAATTACAGTCCAAAACAAGTTGGGTAGAAGTGGGGGCAGACCTCAGAGTCATAACAAAATGCAGAAAGTAGACCTTGTCCAGGGTCAAGCCACCCAACTGCAAAAATGACAGTTGTGAGACAGATAGCAAGTCGAATATGAATTCAGTATTACATTTAATAAGGAATTCATGTTAATATTGCTAGGTGTGATCATTCTATGGGAAGTGTATAAGAAAATGCCCTGTGTGCTAAAGAATCTGGGATAAAATACTGGGACATCTATTGTGTACTTTAAAATACTCTAGCTAAAAACAAAAGAGGCGGCAAATCTGGCATAATGTTAATAATTATCAAGGAGGTTAAAAAAAGATTTTTTAAATAAATAATATCTAATACATGCAATGGTGCAAGAGAAACCAGCAATTCCATCCATTACTGATGGGAAGGTAACAGGCAGCACTTTCTGTGGGTCATCTGGTAACATATGTCAAAAAATCTTGAAAAGTGTTTAAACCTGGCAAGTCCACATTCAATAACTCATCCTAAGTAAACTTTCAGCAATGAACATAAAGAGTTATAAGTTTGTAAGTTTATTATGGCTTTATTTATGACTGTCAAATATTTAAAACTACTTCAATGGTCAACTCTAAATTTTCACCCAGTTACATGATAAAACTACCACCAGGTAGTCATCAAAAACTGGATTTCAGAAAAAAAAATTAAAGCTATACTGATATATTTTATAATTCAGTAGTTATGAAAAACAGTATAACAGTTCCTCAAAAACTGCTAATCCTGTAATCCCAGCCATTGGGAGGCAGAGGCAGGAGCACCTCAAGTTTCAATGGACTACATAGCAAGACCCTGTCTCAAAATGAGGGCTGGGAATGGAGCCAAATGGTAGAACACTTGCCTGTCATGTGTGAAGCCCTGGGTTTAATCCCCAGCACCACAAAAATGAAAATAAAATTACATGATTCAGCAATTCCACTTCTGGGTATGATGCCAGAAGAACTGAAAGGCAGATCTTGAAGGATATTTGCACCAGTGTTCATAACAGCATCATTCACAATAGTCAAAATGCAAAAGAAACAACAGAAGTGTCCATCAACAGATGGACAGATAAACCAAGGTATATTCATGCAGCGGAATATTTATTCAGTCTTAAAAAAGAAGAAAATTCTGGCCCATGAATAAACCTTGAGGACATTATGCTGAGTGAAATAAGCCAACCAAATAATGACAAATTCTATGTTCCCATTTGTATGAGTTACCTATAAGTATAAAATTTATTAGAAGGCTGGTAGAGTGGCTCAAGTAGTAGAAAGCCTGCCTAGAAAGCATGAAGCCTAAAGTTCAAACCCTAGTACCCCCCCAAAAAAAAGAAAAACATGTAGGCTAGGGCTTGGGAAAATGAAGGCCAACTCAGAAGAGTTGAATCAAAAGTGGAATCAAAACAGAGGCACATCCCTGGTCCTCAACAACCCTTTGGCCAGAGAGGGTTCATCATGTCCCTACATGCCCAGTAAAAAGGAAAAGACCAGAGTAGGTGGAAACAGCGCTCAAGCAGCTCAGCAGAAAGGAGAGGCTCAAAAAGAAAAGACTCTCCCCTGGGCCTCAGGACTCCCTGCCTCCACATCTCTCTTTAGGCTAAATTCACTTTCAGAAAATATTTTCTTGACAGCAGACCTCAAGAGAAAAAGGAGCCTTTCTTTCTACCCTCAGTCACCACATATGGCACTGCTCTGAATAGAGGCTTTATGAGAGAGGGTGCAGAGCCCACAGGCACAGATTAGGCCATTGACCACAAACAGCAAGGAACAGAAAAGTGAGGATTTATATGCCCAGGTGGCGGAGGCACCATCGATAATTCAGATGGAGCTGCCATCACATCCCAACATCCAGTAAAGGCCTACTGAGTGCCTACTAAGCACAAAGCATCACTCGTAACATTATTCCAATCGCATGCATCCATGCATGCTCATATGCACACAGCTTCTTTGTTATGTTCTAGGGCTCAGATGAGAAAAGCAATGATTTAGGCTGGAAGCATTTGATAGTTAAATTCAACATATCACACATCTTCTGAGTCAGAAAGTGGGCAGAGGGAAAGTCTTCACCCCTTAGGAAGGACCAGGGGCCATGGCACCGCATCCCACTACTAGAGGCCTTTGGACAAAGGAGGCTAAATCCTGGTAGAGGCAAAAAAGAGCTTTCAGTCTTCATCAAACTGCACAGATGACATCCAAGGGGCAGAGGTCGCCCTGTCCCTGGAGGAAGGTGTATCCATCCCCAGGTCTAACTGCCACGTCCTCCCCAGTCCCACAGAGGACTCACATCGGCTACCCCTTCATCATACATACTTTTGCCCCCATTGTTCTTCAGGACATTGGAGAGGTTGACAGAGGCGGTGCCTAGTAGTTCATTTCTCAAGGTATGGCAGCTCCAGACCTTCAAGTCTAAATGACTCTGGGCTGTGACATTCCTGGAAAACAAATACTAGATTCATCACATCTAAGCAGAATGGTCACTCCTTGCAATTGGAAGAAAAAGTTAAACTATACTGCTGACATCTTGTGGGGACAGCAGAGGAAGAAACATTCACCCTCCCTGCCCCCTCAACGCTGACCTGTAACCCTCTAGCTAATAATGAATGCTCTGTGAGCTCAATGGGGTAGAAACACCGAGAGAGGAACCCTAGGGACAAAGGGCAGGAGAGTCAAAGACTCTCCTCCCCCTCAGAGCAACTTCTCTCTTCCCCTTCTTACAGCCTTCCAGAAGCAATGACTTTCTCTTACAAAATGATGATCTCATTCCAGAGAAGCTCGGAGCTCCCAATGCGCTTGCCAGTCTTCTTGGTCTCACTGGGAAGTCCATCCACTGCCACTTCCACGTAGGAGTTAATTCTAGGTTGCCGATTGTGCACCTTGGGCTTTGCTGACACCACTGGATGGGAGAGAAAGAAAAAGTGGAAGATGAGTCAGAGAGTTCCCAGATGTCCCCTGTGGCAGACAGTCTGGCTCTTTTGGGTTCTTATAAAAAATAAATTTTGCTTTGTCCAGATGCTTAAAAAAATTTTTAAAGAAATAGGGTATATTTAAAAAAAAAAAAACTATAAAGCGTAAGAAAAAAAATCACTTCTAAACCCACTGTGATAATTACCATTAATTATTGCCACTACATCACTGGCATATCTTCCAGACTTTTATCTTTTATTTCCCCAACTCTTTAAAAATTCTTCTCCTGGGCTGAAGGTATAGCTCAAGCAGTACCTGCTTACAAAGGACAAAGCCCTGAGTTCAAATCCCAGTACTGAAAAAAAAAAAAAGCCAGGAACCAGTGGCTCATACCTCCTACTTGGGAGGGTAAGATAGGGAGGATCACAGTTCAAGACCAGCCCAGGCAAACAGTTCATGAGACCCCTTCTCCAAAGGTAGAGCACCTGCTTTATAAACTCAAAGCCCTGAGTTCAAATCCCAGTCCCATCAAAAAGCAAAAATTCCTCTCCACCCAAAATCTTGGTGTTTTTTTTTTTCTTTCGGCATTACTGAGGATCAAAGCCAGGGCCTCACAGATAACAGACAAGTCTCTACCACTGACTTATACTCCAGTCCCACAATCAAATTGAAATGGCTATAATATAATCCCATTTTATAGACACATTAACTATTTCTTCATTGTTGAAAAGACTGCTTGTAATTTTTTGTTCTGGGAAAATTACCATAAACATATTTGTATGCATTTCTGAATATTTCCCAGAAGGCTATGAACATTTTTTTAAGTTCTTAAAACTATTCAATTCCTTTCCACAAGGGGTAAACCTATATAGACACCCATCAGTGGCTAGAGGAACATGCTCTTTTCACCAAATGCTGCCAAGCACTGAATACTGTTTGTTTACTCTTCGCAGACCATACAGATTTTTAAAAATATTTTAAAGATAAATCATCAGCACTAGGCACCAGTGGCTCACACCTATAATCCTAGCTATTCAGGAGGCAGAGATCAGGAAGATCACAGTTCAAAGCCAGCCCAGGCTAATAGTTCACAAGACCCTATCTCAAAAAAGGGGGGAAGGGGAGTGGCTCAAGGTATAGGTGCTGAGTACCACAAAATAAAAATCATTAGTAATACAATATAGTAAAAATTAACAATAATATAATCACTAAGATTCAATGAGCACTTACTGCAGGCACTTTGCTATGCACACAGTAACAAACTGAATCCTCACAACAAACTCATGAGACAGGAAATGTGTCATCACCCCATATTACAAGAAAGAAATAGGCTTGAGAAGTAAGGTCCCTGTCCCTCACTACATAATCAGGAAGCAATGAACCAGAGTGTGTACCTGGCCAGCCTGATGGCACACCATGTGTATGTCATTATTGGTCTTTGCTTCTCTATTCTATCCCTGCTCTTCAATTATTGGTATGGTTGAATATTTTTTCCATCTGCATTTCCTCTTCTGTTCATAACCTTTACATAGTAGCATTTCTGATGTCCATTTGCCACCACCAAACCAAAGACAGAGCACAAAGCCTAGCAAGTATTATGCCCTATGGCATCAGGGGCATGTACCCTGGCAGCATTTATGACACATGGTGGAAATTCCAAGACAACAGGAGGAAGTATGTCTACACATCCTCAATCCTATGCCCCAAATCAAAGGATATAACTGACGCTCCTCACTCATGAGGCAAGACTATCCTTTCCTGAGTTCCACTCTGTTGAGAGTTAGCAGATTCTTCAGGGATGTAAGGCCTACAGATTGGAAAAGGTCAAATCCACCTCCTAGTTGTTTTCAGCAGTAACTCTTCCCCAGAACCCAAGAAATGAAAAACAGTTGTGGTTAAGATTCAGAAGCATCAAAGGACAGTATTGGGAATAAAGGTTCGTGGTGCTGAGGCAGAGCCCAGTAGAAAAAGGTTGTACTTTTCACATAGACCAAGGTTACTGAGGCCACCTGGTGGTGAGAGGGCAGCTCTGTGTACCTTTAACTAAAAAAAATAGAAACTAGTTTTAATCAGAGTCCTATAATTTTGATCTAGACAATCTCTTTAAAAATCAACAAGGTCAAACCTTTTATGTCATAGTTGGGCCAACTTGAGACTCAGGAAGGTAAAATAACTTATCTAAAATTACAGAGTTAGTCAGAGATGGGGCTGAGACTAGAACCAAGTCTCCCAGCTGCCAGACCTATTCTCTCAACCCTCCCTTTTTTTTTTTTGGTGGGACTGGGATTTGAACTCAGGGCTTCACGTTTGCCAAGCAGGCACTCTAATACTTGAGCCACACCTCCAGTCCATTTTTCTCTGGTTATTTTGGAGATGGGGTCTCACACACTATTTTCCCAGACTACCCTCGAACCTCAATCATCATGATTTCAGCCTCCCAAGGAGGTTGGATTACAGGAGAAAGTCACTGGCACCTGGCTTGTGCTGGGTATTTTTGAGATAGGGTCTTACTTCTTTGCCCAGGCTTGCCTCACACCACAATCCTCCTGATCTCTGCCTCCCAAGTAGTCAGGACTACAGGCATGAGCCCCCAACACCTGGCTAGTTTTTTGTTTTTGTTTTGTTTTTTTGTTTTGTTTCATTTTGCAGTACTACTGGAGATTGAACTCAAGGCCTCATGCTTGCTAGGAAGAGCTCTACTACTGAGCCACACTCCCAGCCCATCCTGCTTTTAGTTTGTCTTTCATAAGGTCTCATGTTTTTGCCTGGACAGACCTCAGGCCACAATTCTCCTACCTCTGCCTCCTGAGTAGCTGGGGTTATAGGCATGAACGATTATGCTTGGCCAATTTTTGAAAAAGGGTCTCATTAACTTTTGCCAGGGCTGGCCTCAAACCACAATCTTCCTCTCTCCTCCTCCCAAGCAGTTGCACCACCACACCAGGTCCTAGTTTTTTTTTTTTTTCTTTTATTCATATGTGCATACAATGTTTGGGTCATTTCTCCCCCATTTCCCCCCACCCCCTCCCTAGCTTTTTTAATTTGGACATAATTTCAAACCTAAAGAAAATTTGGAAGATTAATGCCAAGAATTCCCCTACACCCTTCACTCAGAGTCATGCAATATTAACTTTGCACCACACTTGCTTTATTATTCTTTGTCTCCCTTGAGTCTCATACACAAACGCATTTTTTCCTAAAAATCTGAGAGTAAATTATAGATGTTGTGTCTCTTCGCTCTTTAATACTTCAGGATATGTTTCCTAAGAACAAAGACTCTTTCTAACAAAACCAAGAGTAGAATGGTCAAAATCAAGAACTTTAAGAGTTGTGCTGTGGCTTAGGGGGGAAGCATCTGTCTATCAAGCATAAGGCCCTGAGTTCAAACTCTGGTACCACCACCAAAAAAAAAAAAAAAAAAAAAAAAAAAAAAACGAGAAATTTATTACTCAACCTACAGACCTTACTCAAGTTTTGCCAATTGTCCTATCAATGCCCATGATAAAAAAGAAAAGAAAGAGAAAGGAAGGAAGAAGGAAATTTTAAAAGAAAGAGAGGAGAAAAAAAAGAGAAAGAAAAAGAAAAAAAATGTTTCTGGTCTAGGACCAACCTAGGATCACATGTCACAATCCCACAGATTGCATGCATGTTTCCAATTTACAAAAAAGCTGAAAGAACATAAAAACAAATATTTGGATGCTCTTCACCACTGTTGTCTCTATACCGCATTTGGTTTTTTGCACCTCCCAGCATCTTCTGGTGAAGCTACATAAGCCCTGTCCCAGAGAACTTCTGTGACCATGAAAATGTTCTGTATGTGTCCTATACAATATACCACCACCATACATGTGTACCTACTGAGCACCTGTGCAACAAAAGCCATACATTTTAAATTGTATTTAACATTAAATAAAATGTAAAATAATTAGCATCACACCTGCAAACCCAGCTATTCAAGAGGCAGAGGAGTATTACTGGAGCCCAGGAGCTCAAAACCAGCCTGGGAAGCGAAGCACACTAACTCATACCTGTAATCTCTGCTACATAGGAGGCTATGGCAGGAGGATCCCAAATCTGAGGCCAGCCTGGGCAACCCAGCAAAAATCCCATCTCAAAACAAACAAAAAGATACAGCTTTGAAAGTCAAATATAGCAAAAACTGAATACGGCCAAAATTATACCCTTAAAAAGCTCTTAGAGGGCTGAAAAAGAAGACACCACAATAGTCTGACCTACTTGTCTTTCAAGATGTTTTCTGCTTTGTGATGCTGTGCTTTTCAGGGTTCAATTGAATAAATATCAGAAAAATAGCTGGCTTGTACTTAAGGGCCTTGATGTGTTTAGAAATGTACCTTAAAAAAAAAAAAAGAAAAAGAAAAAAATGTACCTTAAGACTGTGCTTATGGCCAGACTCCAGTGGCTCATGCCTGTAATCCTAGTTACTGGAAGTTAATGAAAATGAAAACATGACCTACCAGAACCTATGGGACCCAGCAAAGGCAGATCTAAGAGGAAAGTTTATAGCCATGAGTGCCTATATTAAAAGGACAGAAAGACCTCAGATAAATGACCTAATGCTGTATCTCAAACTCCTAAAAAAAAAAAAAACAAGAAGCAAAACCCAAAATAAGCAGAAGGAGAGAAATAATAAAAATAGGGGCCGAAATTAATGAAATAGAGACCAAAAAAAAGCATACAAAGATCAACGAAACAAAAAGCTGGTTCTTTGAAAAAATAAACAAGATTGACAGATCCCTGGAAATCTGACTAAAATGAGGAGAGAAAAAACCCAAATTAGTAGAATCAGGAATGCAAAAGGGGAGATAACAACAAACACCACAGAAATCCAGAGAATCATCAGACTACTTTGAAAACCTATATTCCAATAAATTTGAAAATCTTGGAAGAAATGGACAAATTTCTAGATCCTTATGACCATCCAAAATTGAACCCAAGAGGATATTACCACCTAAATAAATCTGTAACACG